CTGGGTATACACAAGGTATAGCAACAGTGATTTTAGTATGGAGAGTTCAAATTGTTATGTCCACGTGAGATTAAAGAATTCGGTGTACCAGATTCTGGTCAAATTTAACTCTCAAAAGGCTTATTCCTTGCGCGGTTGGTTACATAATGTTTCTTCACCAATACTTAACATAAACGCCAAGTGGGCTATTCGTGTCCATACTGGATGGCGCTCCATTCCGCTTTGTATACATGTATTCTGTTAGATACGAATGGTGCAATGCTGACAACCCAAGCCACGAGATTCTTCTGGTCATCACATCGCTGTCTACCTCCATTGACAGCAATGTTTAGTCAGCCATCACTAGCAGCAGAATACTAATGGCAGTCCTCCTGACTTTAATAGTGAATGAAACAAGGACCGCGGTGTCGTCTCTCAGAGAAAGCTTTTTGGCCTGATCGACCCCATCATGGCCTGGTTAAACCTTAACATAACCAGACGGGCTCATGTAGTTAAGACACCAAGCAACACCAGAAGCTGATTACACTGTCTGATCTCTCCTCTCGGGACTGGGCCAGGGCGAAAAATTATAGACGACTGGGTGGACGACTCTGACGATGAGAAACAACTCAGGAAAGTAGAAAAATGGCGACCACTAAGCAGGCAGAAGTCATAAAAAATCCATGGCAAAGGCTCGTAGTCCTGCACGTCTTGCTTTCGTCCGTCCCTATACTTTGTCATCCTTCCATCCACTTTAGCCCCTACACCTACCAACAAAAGTTTCGCATCTGCTTCCATGTCAGAACCGACTCAGAGTCTGGGAAACATCCAAACAAGACCAATCGTTTCCGTCCCAACCGGCGTAAATGTAAGTTTAAAACCTGAAGTACAACTCGTATTTATTTTGTATAAGACGTCATTTGGACGTCATTGGATGTAAGATACCGTTACCTCTCCTGCTGTCGAATTGCCGAATAACAAGTCCAAGTTTGGAACATAGTCAGCGGCTTTTTAAACGCAAGATTGCTGGTCTTTGTGCTTATGTGCCTGCGCAGAGCTGTGAGTCGGAAATACCACGCGCCACTGAAGTGTAAATCGAACCAGCGTCAAGCCCCAATACAACGGACCCTTACCTTGGCTGAATGGGGTTCTCTTTGATGGAACAGATAACACTGAAGTTCAAGAATAGCCTTCTCTTGGACCTTGTACCTCACGTTACTCGACTTTCTTTATGAAGTCATCCAGTTCTATAGGCTATAGCATTTTCTCGACCCCATTTTTCGTCAAGGTAGGGGATGAGTGCTGTCCATTTTTCTCATCTCACGATCCGCGTACAGGGCGCCAGAGCAGGTATAATGGACCTGTAAATCAAACCATTTTTTACTTTTCCATTAATCGTTTCGTCGAGGCATCTCTTTATTCGTCATTAAAGTTTCACCGTTCTGTCACGATGCAAAGTCAGAGTGCCAACTACTTCACCTTGCCTAGCCTGCCATGGATGATCAATATTTTTGGCTGGCTTTACTGTGGCCTTTACGTAAGTCCTCTTTCCATCTTCTCAATGAGACATTTGATTAAAGTTGTCAATTGCCAATTTTTAAGGGACTTGTGACAAAAACGTTGATTGTCTAAATGCTAAAAAAGAAATTTTACCATCTGCCATAAATTCATAATTGGTTGACTTTTCAATGCTGTTATTAACTTGACTTGTGAATGACAATTACAAAATGTAAATTCAGGGTTGTTTCAATCAAGAGAAGTTCCGCTTAGATAATATCTGACTGTGCAACCGCACTGTTGAATTTTCAGTCGTTTTTTGATAATTCCTTTATCCCCATATCTACGTCCATAGAGTACAGTCTTCATCCCTCATCTGGTGCCTTACCACTTGTTTGGTCCAGCTGGAACAGGAATTAGACTGGTCTACACCTATTGTCCCTTCTTTGGGAAAGTTTTGTGAGTACATTTTCTTTTGCCAAACCATCTTGAATTATGGTTTAAGGATCGATTTTGGGCAGCAACAATTTGGAAGTTATTAATTTTTCCCCAGGTTCCATAACCGAGATTGCATTTCAGGTAGATCTTATTTAGAATCCCAGTCTGCAAGGGCACCGTTGGCCATGCATGATGATTTCTTTTATATCTTGAATCCATCTTGTGTCCAGGACAGCCATTTTGTTGCTTGCCTGAAGAGCCACGACAGGTTACATGGTCGTTAATTTATCAACCTTGCTTTCTGTAGGTTTGTCGCTGCACATCTTGTACATCTGGGTGAAGCAGTGTATGCCTGGCAACTGTGCAGGTAAATTCAAATCCAACAGGCTTGTTAAAATCACATCAACTTAACACTCCGAGCGCAAGCTTCCTCCTTACTTTATGCAGACGACATAAAGGATGATGCTGAGGTGAAGCCTACATACAAAAAACATACAAAAACAGATTAATATTATGACGGATCTGTGCCATAGTTATGTGCACTTACCTATTCTCGTATTTGGTCTGTACGCGAACGTCACGTGTGGTCCTATCGAGACCAATGAGTATCGTTGTTAAAACTTAACGCACCATTTCGATCTTGATCACGCATTGAGCGCATGGTAATTAGTCCTTGGAATAACTGCTTGTAGTTTGCTCGTAGGTCTATACTTGAGCATATCCGGCGATTAGGTATGGAAAAGAACCTCCTCTCGCGGACCTCCTTATTTGGACCAATCAGCAGCCTCGTATTATGGGCCCTCGTAGCTGCATTCTTCATCGAGTAACAAGCAGTGGAGTAAATTTGTGTCTGAAATGGAGGGGGGGGATGACTCGCCCGGCCATGGTGCTAACATCATATGACACTAGGGGGCGATGTTCATGATAAAGATGCATATCTATAATATGTCACATTCCTGTAGAATCTTACATGAGAAGATGGGGGATGATTTAATAGCTCATCTCCCTCTTTAAAAAGTGGGACATACATACCCCACCCCCCTTGGATTTAAGCAATGGTATACGGGTGATCTTTAGACTACTTTTAAAGTCGCGTGAATTTAGAAAGGTTCTTGCCATTGTATCAAGTTATAGCCTCCTGTCAAGGGGTCCCAAGAAAGCTTGAACAGGAGCAAGAAATTAAGACGGTCCTCCTGGCTATATAAACGCTTTTGTTCCGCCTGAATTTGCCGTGCTTGTTCGATTTCTTAACTTTAGGAATAATGGCTTCCTGTTTTCCCTTCGTCTCTATACTTCAGGAAGAAGGGTATCAATGGACGCGCTCAAGTCAAATGGTTTGCGTCTACCGCCGTCTTTGGAGGACCCTCTTTGTACGAACTAGTCGTCTTCAAACAGAAATCTGGCGAACATCTGGACTAATAGTATTCATATATTTATACCTTAAAACCCCCGAATTTTCCAAATTACAGTTTTAGGCTTCCACTCCTATTGTACAGCAAAATCTGCTCCTCTATTGTAGTAATAAAAGAAGGTATGTAAAGACGTATCTCCAAGAAAAATTGTTGGTGGCTTATTCACAGCTCATGAATTAAACATTATCTGTCACCACAGGGTTGCAATTTTCCTTTGATCATTATGAAGGTGTGCAATTATTGTTACTCTTGAAGAACCTTAGGGAAATTGCGGTGATAAAATGTGAGAAGTGCATCCATTTTTTGGTCAAAGAAAAGCTAGATTGTCTTGTCATTAGTTATTATATGTATTGTTTTATAGCTTTGTATACATCAGCTTTATTGAATGTATTCGGAATCAAACTGCGTCGATTTTGTTCTGATGAAACTAAAACCAAGTTTTATTAAAGAAAAGAGGAAATGGTAAATGACTGAGGTCATCACGTTTCTAAACTTGCTTTAGTGTCTTTGTTTGACCACTTGGTCTTTTCAGAATTATGTTCATAGAGTATGCTACTAGTGGAAGGAGGTACGTACGTACGTGTACATGTCTGCTGTTTTCAGTCTGACCTTTGACATCAAATACAGCAAAGTTCAAGAACTTGGGGGCCAGAATGTCGAACTTTGCTCCTCTCAAAATAAGTTTATATTTAACTTGTCGAGTATTTTAAACGCTCTCCATATTTACTCAGTATCGGTAACAATTAATAGCCTGAATCACAAGGCTTCGAATTTCTTTTTCCTCTTTAGTAACAACCTAAGCCCGATGTTTTGATTTCGTGAGTTGCGTGCACATTTGCCTTGGGATTGCTATAACTTTTGAAGTTTTGTCAGCAACCTTTTGTCCACTATGCCAGGCCAGACCCGTGCGAGTACCAGCTACTTCACCTTACCTAGCCTGCCTTGGATGTTGAATATCTTGGGATGGTTTTACGCTCTCGTCGGAGTAAGTCTCCACCTTCAGATTTTCACGAATCATAATCAATGCTAACTGAAATAGTTTGTGTATAGAGGCAGTTACATAATCATACAATTCAAGCTTCAATTTGATTCGAAGCTTCTACTGTAATTAACATTGTTGGGCCCCACAGCAGCGTAGTTCGTTGTCGACCACTCTGGAAATAACTTCAGTGCAAGGTTGCATCGCTAACCAGGGCCCACACTTTGTAGGCCCCTGTGGTAGAAAGGACCGGGACCTGATGAGTACAGATCATGAGAAACTTTGGACGTGTTCAAGATGGATAATGTATCTGTAAACATCAATGATTTTGTAAGAAGTCTTTCAAGATAAATATTATACATTATGTTACGTGATATACCTCTTTTCTCTTTCACAGGGCACAGCATTTATTCCCCACTTAGTACCATTCGAATACTTCGGACCAGGTGGGACGTGTATGAGGCTGATGCACACTTACTTCCCGAACTTTGCCATCTCTGTGTAAGATAGAGCGCGTCTTTTTCAGTTTAAATGAAGAAAAGGATTAGCCTCGGCTCAAGTCGCATTACAAGGCCTACTTTTTAATACAGTCCCACCGTGTACACAGAGGCAGTGTAAAGACAATTAGGTATACTCAAGTTGGAATTGATAGCTTTGTAACTCTATGCATCGAAAAAATGAAAACAAGTTTTCAGAGTCGGTCAAGGTTATGATTTGACTTTATTTGAAGTTGTTAATTCATATTTTGTTTAAGGTTTGTGCCTGGGACTTTCGCGCACTTTCTTGAAGCACTGTACAGCTGGCGTCTGTGTGGGTAAGTTGTAGCACTCGAACATTCTAGTTAGAAAGAATTTTGTATTTTTTACTGGGGAGTATTTACCGCTTTCATTCATTTATTTATTTTTTTTTTACTTCAGATCGATTGGCATCAAAGGCGGAGCCAAGATTAAATGGTTCCTGTCGACCACCATATTTGGAGGAGCATCTTTGTATGAGCTGGTCACATTCCAGTCTCAACCAGACGTGCACGCGGATTGATATGGGAGTCACTGGAGACAGTCGTAGCCGCACGAAAACAAAATAGTTCCTGCAGTTTCATCTTTAAAAATTGTGATCTCTAAGAGATGAAAATTTTGACGAATCCTAAGGGGCCAACGAGTGCTGTCCTCTTAGAAAAAAGGAGAGATTTAAACAGATTTGAGCCGACGTTTGCAGATCAATGAATTCACTTTGTAGAAAATGTGAGCTCGATAACAGGTCAAGTGATATTCATGGTTGAAATTGCTAATGCGTGTATTTGAAACAGCCTATATGATCAACGGGAGTTGTTCGCATTATTGCCAACAGTACAACATACTGTGCACCCATGTAGAATTGCATTAACGTTTGATACTACTTTTTATCTTTGTTAACTGTGACTCTTTCTCTCACACGGTTCAGATAAGGTTAAAAAAATTAACTTGACCTTTGTTCTCTGTGTTTGGTTCTATTCAGTCGGTATAGTCATAGCCGTTGCTCTAGTCAACTCTTACCCAGCCTGAAATAAGTCTAGCTTGATAACCGTTGCTATGGTTCGTACGCTTTTTGAAACTATTTCGTTGAGGTGTCTCTTCATTCAGTCGTTTCTTCATTTTCCCGCCAAGATGCAAAATTGGAACGCTAATTATTTCACTCTGCCTAGCCTGCCATGGATAATCAACATCATTGCTTGGTTTTATATCGGCGTTACGTAAGTTACCTTCTTTTTTGTCAGTTTTGTGGGATTTGTATTACTGAGAATTTGATCAAACCGAGGTGAATTTTCGGGAGGGGGCGCTATGAAACCACATGGCACTAACTAATGTTTTGATTGAACTTTCAATTTCAAGTATTTTGCTTTCTAGAAGAAATTTAAAATGTTCACAGCATCCTTGATATGGATGTTGCAAGGCTGTTTTATTGAAGACCTCACCCACAGATTCTGTATCTTGATTGGCCGAAAGTGTGTCATGTGACGCTTGCTAAGTTTACTATTTTATACCACCGCTTCATAAAGACTTATACCATGCAGCCTCATTCTGAAAAAGAACTGTATCCATGGCAACGAAAGCATAGGTGTGTATTTCGGCTCATAGCGAACAACTTTGGTTAATGAATGTATTCAAACGTTGCTGTTCCGCTTGGAATTCTTGAATTAAATTTGATGAATGTAAATTCTAGTTTGGTGTTTCATTATTGATTTTAGCTTAAATTTTGCAGAATCTGTGGGGAGGTGTTATAAAACAAATATTGGCTGCCTTATCTCGAGGTTCAGTAAACCTAGCCTCCTGTGGTGATCCATGGAGCATTCTATTTTCCCTCAACTGCCTCGGGAAAGTAGAATGCTCCATGGATCACCTCGGGAGGCTAGTTTTACTATCAACCAGTCGAAGCATTTGTAAAATAGAGTGTATGCTTTTTATTAGGAACGCCTTGTAGATTGTCGTTACTGATCTATCAAACATCAGTGGGTATCCAGGTTTAGTTGGGGGGGACAGATTTTTTTCCTGAAGACGACGTCGATTTTTAATCGTAAATACTCCTTACTGCCCACCGTAAGGTGGCAGTACCACTTCAAAAGTGTTAACGCTTTAATATGAAAAGTAACATTTGGGATGGGCGGAGGGAACGCTACTTGCACCCCTCCCCTGGTTCCCCGATGGATAAGTTACTGATCAACACCGCACGTCCTCATTCATAGAGCACAGTCTTCATCCCTCATCTGGTGCCTTACCACTTGTTTGCTCCAGCAGGAACCTGGATTAGACTAACCTACACCTATTGCCCCTTCTTCGGGAAATTTGCGTGAGTAAAAAATTTGGATACTGCTGTTTAGGTTTTTGGTTTAAAAAAATTATGTTGTGCGATGAAAATTTGGAAGTCTTTCTCTCTCAGTGGAACCAGCTTATCTTGACATGTATTTCAGGTACTTGATTGGATCCATACAAGCCATTTTAGACACCACTAATTATCCATTAATTTTGAACACATGAAATTGTGTGGCCATCTTGTATCCATTGGTCGCTTATCACGGTATAAATACTACTGCTTTTATTTGATCATCTAATTTTCTGCAGCTTGGTTGGTGGCACACTTGCACATCTGGGGGAAGCAATTTACGGATGGCATTTGTGCAGGTAATTTACAATTCAACTGACACGTGAAGGCATGCAAACGACTTATTATCATTAAGAATGGACTAACCTATGGAGGATAAAAATGGCCATCTGCTTTTCTGCTATCAGAATAGTAGAAAGGCAGATTTTATGTCTTTGTAACATGCATTTTTTGACTTGTCTACTTTTCTGATACGTCAAAAGCAGAACGACCATTTTATTGTTATGCATTTTTCCACTTTTCTGCTTTTCTGCTACTACAAAAGAAGTTTTACTTTTCCTCCTTTTGATGGTGGCTGAAAAGTGGCCATCTGCTTTTTACCTGTCAAACAAGCAGGAAAGTGGATTTAACGTTTTGACGACAACCGTGAATTCAACTTTTCTACTTTTGGGATACCGGAAAAGCAGATTTTACATAGGTGGCCGAAAAGTGGCCATCTGCTTTTCTGTCCTCAATGGGCAGTGAATGGGGTCATGAACCTGTAGGTTACGACCATTTCCATTCTGGGGGAGTGAAGATGTAGAAAGCAATACTTACCCATGCTTTCTGCGGACCAATCCCATATGGCAGTATCAGTGTCCCTGTGAGGCAGAAATACAGCATCTCAAAGGAAATACAGTTTTACAACAATCATCCAATAGACACACAAGCTTGCTTAGGCCAAGGAAAACGTGAATATTTCATCATAAATGATGGACTGTAAATGGGTGGACTGTAATCATTGGTTTATACATCTTCAATCCCTATGAAAGGAAATGGTCATAACGTGAGGTTCACGACCCATTCATGGCCTTTGGAAGGCAGAAAAGCAGATGGCCACTTGTCGGCTGCCTGTGTAAAATTGCTCCTCCGGTATGAAAAAAGCAAAAAAGTACAATTCACGGTTATTGTCAAAATGTTTGATCCTCATTTCTGCCTGCTCGAAAGGAGAAAAGCAGAACTTCTCGGCTGCCTATGTAAAATTGCTCCTCCGGTACGGTATTGAAAAACAACAAAAAAGTAGAATTCACGGTTGTTGTCAAAATATTTGATCCTCATTTCTGCTTGCTCGAAAGGAGAAAAGCAGATGGCCACTTTTCAGCCGCCAGCGAATGAAGAAAAAGTAAAATCTGCTTTTCTTGAAGCAGAAAGGAAGAAAAATAGAAAAATGCATCGCCAAACAATGATCGTTCTGCTTTTTGAGGCGGCAGAAAAGTGGAAAAATCGAAATTGCATGTTACCAGAACATAAAATCTGCGTTTTTTCCCATTCTGAAAGCAGCAAAGCAGATTGCCACTTTTCGTCCTCCATGCTAACCACCTGGCATTTTGAACAGAGCTCTACCTCTGTCTTGCACAGCTCAGCTCATGGATCGGCTCGATGTGGCTTATTTGATGGAACCCTATTATTTTAGCCTGGTCGGCACAGTTCGTTTCATCAGTCTTTCAACTATAACAGTGACAACTGTAATCTTTTCTTCTTTATATTTCTGATGCAGGAAGAAGGGTATAGTGGGACGCGCTCAAGTCAAATGGTTCGTGTCTATCGCCATCCTCGGAGGACCGTCTTTGTGCGAACTGATCATCTTTAAACCGCATCTCGACATGGACGCGAACTAACTCGTTCGGAAAAAAATCCTGGATGCTCTAAAAACTTTCTAATGAAGGATTTTTGATTTTCAGTTCTAGTCCTCTTAACCTGTCGCTCTATTTCATGAAAGTAACGTAGGATGAGTTTTGCTTTGCCATATAATGGGGAAATGATAGATGCATGTGACTATAATAACAGGACCTTAACACCACCTCTTGCAAAGATCTTTTCTCTGTGCTTAAAAAGGTTTAATCAGTAGTGAAGTCGCACCCAGGGAAGATGTCAGTTTGAAAAGCGAGAATTTTTTTTAAAAGAAAAGACTGCGTTTCGTTTGTGCAGAGCACTTCATATGGATTCATGTTTCATAAGGAGAAAAAATACACCCGGGGATTTAATTTCTGCTTTGAGATCACAAGCAAGGTTAATGAACTTAGGTCATCGTGTCAGAGCAAGAAAAGAAAAACTCTGCAATTTCTCCGTGATAATTTGATTGCGAACGAATGAAATCTGGTGAAATGATGTATTTCAAGCTTTTTGTAATTTGTCTCCCTTTTTCAGTGCTTCAGAATGCATTTTGCTTGTCTGTGAGTTGGAGAAATGCCTTAAAATTCGTGTTTTTCTTCTTACCACGAAAAAAAGTGCGAGTGTGGCATGATTGGCCCACCCCTCTGGTCAAAAAGTGTGCGGGTGGGTGTGTGTGTGAAGGGGGGAGGAGATATGTCTTGGGATTTAGGCGCCTGCATTTTATTACTGATAACATTTACATATTCCATAATGGCTCTTTGATGATCATCTCTGGACAAGAGAGTTTTCTGTTGCAACAGAAAAAACTTTTTTCCAGATGAGACCACAGTGACCTTGCTCGTGTCAATGTCACAAGAAGGAATATGTTTCACAGCCTTTTTAATAAGTAAGCAGACCATTTAATAAAATTAGGATAGATGTTTAAAACAAAGCTGTTGGCTTTTTTTGTTGAAATGCTGGCAGCGTTTAGCTGACAAGGCATGAAATGCAGCTTTGACAAAATAATGAGCGTACGAAAAATTTGACTGAAGAAATCTTTGAGGATTTAATGTTTGCATACCTTCAAACTGCGCGGAGATATAACAAATGTACAAAGAACTCCATACAATGGCTCCGTTTGTTAGATTATACCGAAACAAACCGGCTGTTGAAAGGTTATCAGAGGGAACTGGGAACAATAGTCATATCTGCAATACGTGGTGACGGTTTAACCGAAGGCATATCGGCAATTGGTGGGAACGAACATGAGTACACAAAATGACCACATGATCTTGATATACCGGATGTGATCGACGATACACCACCACATCACGGTGGCGGAACACCGCACTGGCTGATCACACCCGCAGCTGTAGACGAGTTGAACCAGACGGTTTCAGCAAAAATTCAACTACAAACAGAATTACATCCACAGAGCTAGTAAGATTGTTTTAAGATCACATTGAAATTAATCAATTCAACATTTGGCAGGTGTCTGTTTCTGATGCGGACAATCAATTCTTCTGTTTCAGACAAAATGCAGTTTCGTAATCGGAGCTATTTTCGGCTACCCAGCATACCTTGGATGGTGATTGTCTTTTCTTCTTTCGGCATCATGGCTCCGGTAGGTATCGGAGGTAGGAGAGTTTTCGTCTATGGTGTCCTAAAGTGGACGGGCAAACGTCGTGCTTGTGGGGCTAAACGTCGTGTTTGTGAGTGACCAGGGCCAATTTCATGGATCGTTAGCATGATTTTTTCTCTTGATAAAAACAGGATTACCAACCAAAATGTTCATGTGTTGTACATTGCTTGTTCAGCTGATGTTCGCTTAAAATGGCGTGGATTTTTGGCTGTTAACGTGTTTTTCCAGCAAGAAAATACTGTGCTAAGCAAATTTTTGAGCTTAGCAGCTTCATGAAATTGGCCCTGACCACTCAAAAACACGACGTTCGAACTCACACACACGGTTTGCCTGTCCGCTTTAGAACACCATACCTTTCAGATGTAAACTAGTTTTTTGCGAGAGTCCGTTGTTGATAAGCGTGGTTCTACGGTGATTTCCGAGTGCTTGTGCATATACCTGTACTGCTAACCAGTGGCATACGGAGAGGGGGGTGGGGCACACGCCCCCTCCAGTGGATGCCCCCTCATTTGAAATCTGTGAATAATCTCTGTTGAGTTTATGTAGCTATGCAACTTTTTCTTTTAGTGCCCCCTTGAACCAACGTGTGCACCTCTGTGTGCCACCTCGGACATTTAGCCTTAGTATGCCACAATCCAAAGTAATTCATTTTATCCATAACCATGCTTACATTACAGAGTTTGGTCTTCGCACCGCACATGGTACCTCTACAATACTTCGGGCCCGTAGGACCACTCTATCGGTTTTTGATACGGACCAACACGTGGAACGCAGTGTAAGTCGCTGAAGTAATTTTTTCCCACAAAATTATTTTGTTCAATTGAAACTGAAAACATTTAATTCACCTTAAGTATTCAAAAAATCACGATAAAGAAGTAATCATTTCAAATTATCATAAATTCAGTTCAAGAAATACATGGCAGGACTGTGTCTTTTAATTTCTACCTCGAACTGAGACATTGTTTGCCAGTGGGCCAAGCTACATCGAACACATACTGGTCTATTGCGTGCGTACTGTGCACTATTTACACTGTACATGTACACTGTACATGCATCGTTCAGGCGATGACGTCATCCAATCAGCTTGGTAGCGATGGTGAACGGCCAAAACGGGATTTTTTGTGGGCGGGGAAACGCAGGATCTTTTTATTCATTTTGGGGTCACGATTAAATTCAGTGTTTAGTAAACATAGAATTTATGATGTTTTTGAAATGGTTACGTATTTATCGTTATTTTAAAATATTTGAAGTAAACGAAATGTTCCCAATTTCCGTTAACCTTTACGCGCCATGACCAGTAGAATGGCCAAAACTGTTTGTTGAACTTTTTCAGGAAATGAAATCTGTACACCAGGCGTGAAATGGGACAGAGGGGTACCCCCTAACAAGTTCCTTTCCAATACTCACTCCAGCCTATTGTTACTTAACAATCCCACCTAGATGTCTGATTCCTGAGATACCAGTATTAATGACCAATCAAAGGAGGGGGGGTCTCTCCGTCCAACAGTTTGCATCAAATGTAAATCTCGGTAACTGCTTAAAACAATGGCCATCTGTTATAATGAGCTTGGCTGTCAACAATCTGAAATTATAGCAGAATCAGGTTGAATTGGGAAGGGAGGTAGAGTCAAATTCTAGCCGTACAGTAATTAATTCAGCCCCAAACCAAAGATATGTTTGATTTTTTATTTTGTTGACATGTCCAGGATGGTCAGCGCGTTACTGTTACACGCTAGTGAAGCGATCTACAGTTGGTATTTGTGCAGGTGTGAATACTTTCCGTTCTTGAATTTATCTTCCCAATCTTTTTTGAGTCCAAGTGTAATTGCTTTTAAACAAAAGGAGATCCTGTGGGGGGTCATGGCCTCCGAGGGCGCTTTTTTAATAATGAGAAAAGATAATATGGGGTTCTATTCCATTTTCCTCCCTTCTAAGCGTTTAGAAAGCCTCAAATGTGTGACCTTACCCCTCAGAAAGGCCAGTGTCACAACAAAACTTCCTAACTTGTGGCCCCAGAAGAAATATTTATCCTCTCAGAAAATTTGGTTTTGCATATGGTAAGACCATTGGATTCGATTAAGTATCTTCCATTGAACTAATCAGCGTTATAAATTACTGGTCCAGTGAAATACCGACCGCCTGTTAGAAGTTCTTGCACATTCGTAGATTATTTGCTGATGAGACTTTGTAAATGAGTCACCAGATGTTGAGGATTCGCATAGTGATTTGTTGAAGAACGGTATACTTCATACTGAGCAAAATCAAGGCAGTTGTTTGAGGTTAGGCTACTAGCCGATTATAGACCACCTTACTGAATGAGGAATTTTGTCTTGTCCAATATAGGAGGAAGGGTATCGAAGGGTTAGCAAGGGTCAAATGGTTTGTCTCCACTGCAGTCTTCGGTGGGGCCTCTCTGTATGAGCTCCACAGGTACAATCCAGTCGCCAATGAAGCTGACTGATCGGTGCAGAGACTAAAACAGCGGAGTTTCTCCAGTGGATGTTACGAGACTTTTAACAATTTATGGTTGAAAACATACCCGCCCTTGATTTACATTTTTTTATAGCAGCAGTTTGCATCATCCGTTAATGTCCAAAGTGGTCTGCGCCTGTTATCAGTAAGCCGGCTGAACGCATGATTATGTGCTGCGCTGTCAGTCTCATATCAGGCAGCCTTTGTTTGAATGAATTGGTACAAAGTACATGTTATCGATAAAAGTCCTCACTGAACAGCTCCATTCTCCAATATCACAAGTTTACTTTGCGACTCAAGAGGGCCATTTTTAGAAACAGTCTTTGTAAAGTGTTTATAAATGATGGATCTGGATAAACATGTCAGATGGGGTGATAGAGATTTGCATTCATTTGTTGAAAATTATCATGCATTGATGCATCTGGAGTATAATGACATAACCTACTTGTATCATTCATTCTTAACCAAAGAATTGGTCACTAGTAATGAAACGTCTGGATTATATTTTTTTCTTAAGAAAAGAAAAAACTTTGATGAGCATTTCGACAGCCTTTGGCACTTAAATATTACTTGAAACAGATTGAAGGCTCCAGTACTATCACTATTTTTTTGTTATAAATTAGATGCAGCTGAGTACTTCACAATGTACTGTACATTGATTACTTTTGTACCTTTCTCCTTTTCCTTTCCTGATTATGTTTAAAATTTCTCTCTTTTGCTGATTTAGTTCGGTCCCGTTGACAGGAAAAACAACTGAAGACCTTTATCGATATAACGAGCGCATTTGTGTTCTTTTCTCATCTATAATTTTTAATAACAGAGCCACTGTTGATCGATTTTATGCCTGAATTTATAATAAGCTGTCTTCTTAATGCAGCAGTGTGAAAAGATCGAGCAGAGAACAGTTCCCAATACAGATAAATTTCCATTCAAGAAAGTATCTTTATCCCCGACCTTTAAGGGTGTAGTCCACTAATTCAGGCCCCGCGTTGAAAACGGTAAAATCAGCATTGTTCGGGGCCCAATAATATGCGTACCAACATCTCCGAGGCATCTGAAACACACGTTAAATTATTGTATGGTCCATAATCTTTTAATTTCTTTTCAATTTTCTATGGGTTAACCCATTACATTTTGAGTTATTCCCTCAAAACAAAATTACCCCCCCCCTAAGTTATTTTTCCAAAGTCTGCTTGCAGCCATTTTTCAAGTGACAATCCTCAACTTTTTCGGGCACTTAGGACTATTTTTCAACAGTATTCTTTAGCCATTCTGCTCTCAGATGGAAGCCCAAAGAACCAGGAAGTTGATTCTGGCATTGATTTACACAATCTCACCATTTTGGGGGCCATACAATCTCCGTTTTCAAAAGATACGGGGGGGGGGCACTTTTAATGATAGTGACTGGCCAGAAATTCTCGCTTGAATTAGTGGACTGCACCCTTGAAGGTTGCAGGCCAGTAAATAGGTCCGAAATTGCCTGCGCCGGGACCAAATCACGATTTGTAGGCTGCAAAATTCTCTTCTATTAGAGCCTTCCGTGGCACGTGGACTGGGTGTTTTGTTAAAAAGGTGGATATAATGCAGGAGCAGGCCTATAATTTTGTATTTCTGAAAGTTCCGGACCAAACGGAGCCCTCCAAATTGCTCTATTTTGCCATGAAGTGTAGGCATCAATTTCCAAAATGGCGATGGGCCTCTTGATTGTTTTTAGGGGTGATTTTCTCTGGAGAGAAATATCTTCAAAAGTCATCAGTTTAGCCAATGAAAATTGAAAGGAAAATGAAAGATGAGGAAGTGAGCTTTAATTCGATATGTCTCGAATACCTGAAACTTGTATGTTTTCTGATTTTTTGAAGTGGGGATATTTATCACTGTTGTCTATGGCAACTAACTTACTGGATTGCACCCTATAACATCGTTACCTTCATGTCTGGTAACCAGACGTAACGGCGAATTTCCTGACGCTAACACTATACGGTACCCATATTCATTGCATCTGCCCATAAAATTAGCACACTCAATAGCATGCACTAACTTGAGCGAAGGTGAGACTTTCCATTTTTACACGATGCAGGCCTAAGTTACGAGTGCTAAACGTAGATGAAAATCAGGGCTTAGTTGTTTATTACTAGAGATTTCTGTGGTCAGGCCCTGTTGACACACATGTATGTCCGTTGACTCTGTCAATGTTTGTGCACCGTCCGCCCCGCTGCTACGTCCGGAGCGGACGTTGGACCCCACACTGTACTGGGGGTACGCGCCCCAACCCCCGTCACGTCACGTCAAGCTTGCGCATCCTCCTAAGACAAGGTTAAGGAAAATTGGTCCTGAGACAAAAGATCAGGAAATATCAAATTCCAGACCATTCATGCCTGCACTGTTAGTGTTACTGTCTGCTAATTAATTTTGTTAGGCCTAGGCCTATTTTAATTTTGTCCCTGTTGTGCCGGGGTTTTGACTGAAACTTAAAAGATCTGCGGGATTGCAAGAAATGATTTTTGAGCTAAAAAATCCCGTACACAGATGACAGAGCCGTTTGACACCCTGTGTACAAACCCTACGAGACTGGTCTGAAAAATTCTAAGTTTTCTAACATCTCTAAGTGAAGACCTCTATATTTACACTGTTCAATTGGAGTTTCAGGACGGCTAATAATGTACTAGGTCCCTGCTGGGAAAACTAATTAAGCTATTATACCTAGGCCTAGCCCCCTATATAGAATTCTTTCCCTACTCTGTATGACGTCTGTCAATCCTGGCCAGATCCTGCTGCTGTCACTTGATCACCTTTTCGCTTCAATTCATGGCTGTGGAAAACTACTTAAAATTTACAGTTCTGAATTTGTAAAAAAAATAGGGCGAGCATTATGGAGAAAACATTGCCTTTCGTTGCACTCTACTGGGGACTGACCTGTTTTGTAAGAATAAAAGTCTGAGGATTTTGAAAAGGATAGATGGAAATGTAAAGAGAATAATATGTAGACAAATCAAGCTGCTCTTCTGGTCTTTATTTAGGGGTCACCTCTATAGCACCCAACAACAGATGTGAAATGGCGTATATTTGACTCTTGACTCATGTTGACTTCTTTTTCAACAGAGCAATCTTCATTTACACTGGATGTTTGTTCTACAATGACACTAAAAAGTGAGACCTACTTCTCCTTGCCTGATGTGCCATGGATGGTAGTCATTGTAGTAGGACTCTACATATTATTTGTGAGTTCATAAGAATTCATCCTAGGCTGTTGCTAGATTTGGCATATTTAGGGGAACGGCATTACCACGTTCAGCTGTACATGGAAAAACAATATACATGTATTGGGGTGAAATGCAGTTCTTTAACTGGTTGTCCAAATATATTTGGCCGTGAAAAAAAGGTTAGCAAAGTTGACACACTTTGACCTCATTTGACCCCAAAAGAAAGAGGGGGGTGATGATGTAACAATAAGTCTAAGCAGAAGAAATTGTTGATCTTTTACACATTTCTTTTCCTCTCCTCAGGGTTCGCTGTTGTTGCCGTCAATAGTTCCTTTTACGTATTTAGGTCCTCTTGGATTCCTGGCTAGCTATCTAAAAGAGGACCATCCAGGTGTTCTTACATTTCTGTAAGTATCACAGTAAAATGACCATTACGCTTTTATTGCAAAGTCATTTTTTTCTTTTGTGGATTGAGATAATTATAATTCAGTGTCTTGCCTATGGACACAACACAAACTAGCAGGTTGATTTGAGCTTCTAACCATCAAGGCTTGATTATGACTGACCAATCCTAGCTCCTAGAAATTTCATGTAGAGTAGTCATATACAGGAAGGAATTGTTCTACCAAGATTAGGTTTGAAAAAAATAAACTACCCAGGGTAAAATTGAAACTACCTTGTCTTAGCCATTATTTCAACATGTCTTGTTTTTCTGCTAACATCGCAAACAAGATTGCATCAGTTTGCTGAAGATTTTACCAAATATTGTTTTCTTTACAGTGCAGTGTTTACTGTGGTTTGCCATGTTGGAGAATCGATTTACTGTATGAAGATGTGTGGGTAAGTCATGATGGATGCCTTAAAAAAACCACTTGGGAAATTTGAGGAAGAAACATTTATCTGTAGTAACGGTGTATTAGGCTCAATTGATTGTAATTTGACAATAATTTGGTTGATACTGTAAATGTTTTGTAGTTCTATTTTCCTGATGTCTTTGAGTGACTCTTATCGTTTTTCTCATGCATATAGGCAAAAGAACATCAGCGAGTCAAGCAGGGTGAAGTGGTTCTTGTCTACTATGGTGTTTGGCGGGGCTTCGCTTTACAAACTTAACCAGTACAAACAGAGTGCTACAAAGCTCAAAGATTAAATTGGAAACAAAGTTTACAACACTATCTTGACATGGTAAACAAGGTTTTTGACTTTTTGTTTGGAACAGGGAATTTATTAACAATTGTTAGACTTCTTCGGTATCAAGGGTGTATTTTATCTCTAGAAAAAACCAATCAACTTATTCTATGTTGCCGTTTCAAAATGCCATTAAGTGAAGAATGCCAAAGTACTCTGTTTAGTTACTGTGTTGACTTTACAGAGCTAATGAGATTTAGTCCAAGATTTGTAATTTGAAAATATCTTTGATGGCCCTGATTGCAAAACTTGTTTCTATCTCTTGAAGCTGTATATCTACATGTATGTCCAATTGTATTCTTTTTAAATTTGAAAAACTGGAAATTGGACAAATTGAATAAACCGAATAATTAAGTCTTCCCATTGAATGTTTTGTACATTTTTCCAAACTATTAAAATCTTGCACACTTTTTTTTCTTAATTTCATTTTAAATCAAACATCCCACGTAATTCCTACCATGGTGCATTAAAAAGGTTTGAACTAAAACAAGTTAGGTGAGTTTTTTTGTATGGCACATCACTGGCAATATTGAAAAAGTTCTTATAATTAGGTTTTATTTACATATGCGGAAACGATGAAGACATGACTAATCACAAGTATGTAGGGTGTACCAGTGAAAAGTAAGAACTGAATATTTACAAGCAAAACCTAAATAGTCCATTTATTTGATTCAACTGATTTGGTGTTCATTTGCATTTTCAAATTTGTGACCTCTGACCTTTTATGAAATTGCGCAATTGAACCTTTAAATATAAGTTCCGAGCAAATTTTCTTGAAGAGGCCTGTGGCCTGGTGGTCTAGCTTGCTGACTGCCAGGCCAGGGGATCCCGGTTCAAATCCAGCCGGGGTCCCGGAAAAGGAAGTTTTTTTTTTTTTTTTTTTTTTTTTTACTAAGTTTTTTAGCAAAATTGTGCATGCCCACCTGGGATTGAACCCAGGTCCTTGTGCATAGCAGTCAGTGTCCTTAACCGCTATGCCACGGCTCTTTCTTGAAAAAATGTGCTCGTTTCTAAATGTTAAACCTTCTGATGTTTGGACTTAGAATATTTTCAGGCCAAGTCTGAATGGGAGATGGCAAGGGGTACCACTTGAGGCTGGAAGTCTGACAGCCGATACTCTCTATGTGATATAGAGAGTGGGGTAAGGGCTTAGGAGTATAGTACTATTGGGACTGTTCAGATTCCAGAGAGTTGAAGGACAAAGTTTCTTATTGTTCAATATTACCAATTGGCTTATTTGAGCCTCTGTAAGGATGGCAGAATTGAGCTTAAAGGGGCAGGGCTTGGGATTGGTCAGAAGAGTAAGATGTACAGAATTGGGAAAAGAAGGAACTATACTGAGGAGGGTGAGTGGCAGGTGGCTGCATTTTCACAAACGCAATGAAAGACAAGTTTTCTTGACTTACGGTAATGAACATTTATTTCATCCTCAAATACACATGTAGCTGTATATTTAGATTTCTAATGGCTCTATAATTACACACACCTAGTGATTTTAGTCCATATACCCGAAACAAAAACCATTTTAGTTCACTAATAATTTTATGCCAAGCAACCTACCGATTTGCAATTGGGTATTTTACAGGAAAAGACTTTCCAATGCTACAGCAATGTGCATGTACACTCGGAAATACTACAGCTTGTAAAACTTTGACCAAGGGGTGAGGTTTGCAAAGAGGAAAAAAAGAACCAAAAGCTGGAGTGGGGCACTGGATGGGCTAAACAGTGTGATGGGTACAATGCGGTTAGTCTGGTTGCCTAAAGAGAGAGGACAAAGGGGAGATGTCAAGTGCACCATACCTGGAAACCGTTTTTCAGTTTTTAAAAGCAGGCAATAATATAAAGTTCCAAATATTTATGCGAATCCTATCAATTACAGTCTTTCCTTGTACAAATTTATCAATGCAATTTGTGAAGTCTAGCATTGTTATAAATTATGCAAACATGAATGCTATTAAATGAAAGAAAAATATGTAAATGTGAGAATAAACGTACATGAATTACAGTCGACACGATTAATACCAGCTTGATGTGACTCCCCAGAAACTTTGTCTTATGGTGAACCTCGTGTTATACGTGTTGACACTTATCCCATTCATAAAGCGTAAGCCTGGCTTCGTACACCAGTAAGCATTGTTACCACGGCGATGTGCTGTACATGAATGATACAGGACAGTATATGCAGTGGATTGGTACTTCATGTACATGTACCAGCCTTTAACTTTTTCATGAATTTTATTTAAAATGTTCTTATCAATATGATTCAAACGAATAACACAAAGGTTTTGAAAATGTTAGCAGAGATTAGTGGTGTAAATGGCCGGCTGCATCACGCCGTGCAGTGTGGCCAAGTACTATCTGGAAACTGGTACCCGATGCAGAAACGTTCTTTTAATTGATGGAACAGGAACTTACAGTTTTAATGTGCGACAGGGTTGTGCAAGTTTTATCTTGAAAGTGGAATGTGGGACATCGGTTAAATGAAGGAAGGGAACTTAAGAAGGGTGAAATTTCTAAAACCTATTTCAATTTTCTTCCCATTGACCATGCAGGGTCTTTGATAAGGATCGTTTGTGTATTTGTTTTCCTCGGCATCAAAACTTCTGTCCCATTTATGATTTTTGAGTCAGGTTCACCCATTGTTCGATTTAAATTTTAAAAAACCCTCTTTCGGACCAGACCTGCTGTGACCGAAACTCCTTTGAGTTGTCATTGCAACACCCTTTGTTGTCTTGAATAAAGCACCCTCTAGTGGCACAAGGAACAGAGTTGCCAAGTCATCGGCAGTAAAACCGCAGCACAAAGTGTCGAGGGGATATTATTATTGGAGAACTACTGACGCGCTCCATCAGGATTTACTGGGATCAAGCTCTTGAAGAGGCGTTTTCAATTGTACTCCTTTTAAAAATGCCATGGACAATGGTTTTTGACACTGCGGGTAGGGAAAAGTGCTCGTCCTGTCCGTGTCCTCGGCTTAGCACAGCTCATATAAGTAAGTTTTGTCTCATAGGAACGTGTACAAGAAATAAGCTGGTAATTGTAAACGCGATCTCGTCTCAAGCGTGCTCGTGTTAATCGTGTTCAACTGTACATGTATGATAAAAGTATACAGAACACAAAGTAACAGCAGAAGTGTTTGTCCAAAAGTACACTGACCAACTGTGTATTAAATTTCGATAGTAATTTTGCTAAAAGTCTATCAATGTGCACATGAACATAGCCTTGCTCCATCACTGAAGAGGAAGCGAGGGGCTGCATCTCTGAGTTTAACCTTTTTGAAGCATGGAGGATACAATGGAGGGCACTTCTGGACGTTGGTCATTTTGGAGTAAACATAAAAGATTTTACCCAAATTAAACAGCGCCCTCAAATAGGCTAATAACCGAGATTCTCACGAGGATCTTGCGAGGGTCTTGGAAAACTGTTCCTCCTCAGGGATGGAGGCAAGGACTGCTATCTGAGTTACTTTCTCTCCTTGACTTTCTTGTGAACCATCTCTCGGAAGTCCCGTAAGATCTTGTCTTCCCTCTTGCTTCTCTCCTCCTTGTTGAAGGAGGCGAGGGCACGCTTCTCGTCTGCACTGTAGATCTGGTTTTCCTTACGCATACGCACGGCTTCCATACGACGATGTCTGTGGAGGAAATTTAACACAAAAGAATGAGCTGCAGCAGGAACTGAGACATTCCTTGAAATATTGGGATGTTGTAGCTGTTTTTCACCCCTTATTTCACTAAAAACAGCAAGTGTTGCAGTCGAGTGTGACACAAAGTCCCTGCAAGTCCATCACAAGTCAGTCTATTTTCAAGTCGGAAAAGGAATAGTGAAGACGGGATTCCTTGGACATCGTTCTTCCAATGCTACCACTTTTTCTCACAATCTCCTCTTCTAATTGCCCCCTCTTTACAGATTTCTTCAGGGTTACGAGCTACAGTGCCAAGGGCGCTTTTGAGGAATCTTTGATTTCATTACCAGGAAGACTTAAATAATAATCAAAATAACAATCCAGTTACTTCTGAACAAACTTGTGATGTAATTCACCAAAGGGTGCACTTTGAACATGGTTTCTAATGTGTTCTCTTTTTTGTGAGAAAACTAATTGACGTCCACTTTTGAGTTAAATGTATTAAAAAAGTGCACTTCTTGAGGCTTGTCCATGCTTTTCTAGACAAATGAGGGAGCTGTTGATGTGATGCCAATCCGGGAAGACATGGTTAACGGGTACAGTGTGGCTACTCCATGTTGCAATGTCAGGGTACAGTGAAACTGACCAAGCATTTCAAGCCAACAGTATGGTGCAGTTCTAGCATCTTGTAGCAGTCTTGAAAGCAGAAGTGAGTGACTAGACAGAGGGAGTGTTTAGGAACGCACAGTGTTTGCTGACCAACGCTCTTACCTGCTACCACTCATGACGTAACCTGCATCTTCAAATTTGGAGATTTCATTGCTGGTCAGGCCAATCTCACCACGACGTGGGATACGTTTGCCGGCCTCAACATAGGCAGCCATTGCAGCACCCTCACCTGGCAACAAGGCTTTCCCAAAACTGAAATATCACCAAAACAATGGTAGAAAAGGTAACCTTAGTTTTTTTGCAGTCACAGAATAATCGAGGTTTCGTCAAAATGAGCAAAACAAAGGTTTCATCCCATAGTGCTTGTACTCCATTATATCCAATTATCTTTAGTCACTGCAGCAGATAGAAAAACCATGCAGTGCTCGGCAGTGCAGGGAGTAACAGGCCAGGTGGGTTCTGATTGGTACAGGGGGAAATGGGTTGAGCAAATGTTCAGAACCAAAATATTTATTCCTGTCATAATTCTGCAAAGAAAGAAACAAAAGGAGACTTACTCTATCAGAGCAGTGGTGCCAGACGAGGACCCCATGGGCAGGGGCCCAACCACGCTGCCGTCACCTTTAACACCTGGTAATTAAGATTGAAAATAAAAGGTAGCGATTGACAATGTCAAAAAGATACGGCTGAGGCTAGAAGTAACACAATAATCATAGGTGAGCCACAGGCAAGCGGCTACAGCCATGTCCCACAGACCTATGTACTACTGTCAGCCTAAGCCAGTTGATTTGGACATGGTCTACCTCAAGCTAGTTGACACACACAAACAGAAGGTACACAAAGACTGCTTTCTGCCCGTGACACATTGCAAAAATCGTTGCTAGGCGACAAGGATTTTATGAAGTGGGCTTTTCTATAAAAAATATATCAGAACTTAAGACGTTAGCAAATGCCATGGCCAAAGGTATTGGCAAAAGTTAATTTCTAAACAGACGATGAGCATGACTGAAAGTAACAGCTTTTCTACCTGCCGTTTTCTCCACCCACTGTTCCTGGTCCTCATCACTGTCAGAGTCGCTATCACTCCAGTCCTCGCTGGAACTGGATTTTCTCTTACGCTTGCTTCTTTTCTTACTGTTAGAAAAACAAAAAAAGGGATAAAACATACATCACAACTAACACTAAGATTTGACTTCTGCTACTCTAGGCCAATGGCATTATTACAATACTAAAACTAGTCAGCAAAGAGAGACACTTCTGGTTTGGTGTTCACCTTTTCTTCCGTCTTTTCTGTTCTTTTCGGTGTTTGGATTTTTTGGATTTCTTCTTCCTTCTTCTTTCCTCTGAAAAAAAGATGAATTGAAGAATTAGCCAAAAGCAAATAAAAATGGCTTCTCTCTGTGAGCAATTGCATTCAAGGCCACTCAAAGTCACAATGCAGAGTTTTCAAATGGAACTTTTCACACAAAGTCTCTGAACAAGGTACCTACCTTCACTGTCTGTGCTACTGCTGGCATCAGTGTCATCTTTATCATTCTCTGTATGGCTGAACTCGTCAGAGCTGACAGGGTCAAGACAAAATAATGATAAATCTTTACCCACACATGACAAAAGGACAGGTCAAAGAAGGAATAGGATTCCCGAAAAACTGAAAAAAAATTTAAAATCCTCCCCAGAATGGTACATTCTCTAAAATTCCACAGAGCAACAAAGTCCCATGTAAAATCAAAGTCACTTGGCTGGGCTCAACCTTCCTACATCCACCAAAATCTTCCACAAATAATCTATGGATTTTGAAGGATTTGGGAAGGTAAGCTATATAAAAATGCCACTCTGTAAAAGAGCCAAACGAAGTACAGCAGAAAATGAGCAATAAAGAGGAATAAATAATGAGGAATAAAGTTGACTTAATCCAGCAAGTCACTGTAAACCTAATGCTGGGAACTTACTCAGGTTCTGCTCTCTCTGGTGATGCTGCCCACACATCGGCCACTCCTTGCTCCATGATCTTCTCTCGCTCGGACCTCCTCCTATGAAAAAAAAAAGCATCCCTTCAGCTTTGAAAGTTTCCACAAACTCTCATACAGAAATCGGGAAGACAAAATGGGAACACGAGAAAAAAATGGCTTACTGCTACGTCAATTTTTGTTTGTCCCTCTTCAGAAACAATATCTGATTTTATTACATTGTGATGAATCTTCTAAATTTCCAAATATTTCCCCAAATACTTCTTGGAAAATTAATTGCGATATCAACATAATGCTGGACTAAAAAAGCACTTATAATCACAAAGCACACTTTTTGAAGTGTTCTGTGACACAAGTACGCATACAAAAGTGCTCAAATGAAATGACCCTTTGAATGAAAAAAATGCAAATGGTTTGCATTTTTCGTTTCAAAATAAAATGTGTCCAACTAATTGTCTGACATACATCTCAAAGAATCGTTCTTGTTGGTCTTGTGCTTCTTGTCTCCAGTCACCTGATGATCTGCGGTGTCGTTCTCCATGGCCATTCTGTCGGATGTCATCTCTGTATTTGATGTCCCAAGTCTCTGTCATCCAGGCGGCCTTGACCAGACCTCCGGTCTGACTCTGACCTATCCCATCGCTCGCGTGAGCGGCTGCGAGATCGAGACTTTCTTGGCCGTGAGTAGTCCTTGGGGTGATCTCTGTCTCGTGAATGATCTCTGTGGCGGTCACGATGGTGGTGATACGAAGGACTGGAATCTCTGTAGCTTTCACCGTAACCCATGACTTGGTAGGAAGTCTCTTCAAAAACTCTGGGCTCAAAATCTGGAGCCTGTTTACGATTGGAAATAAATACATACATGTATATTGTAGATGTACATGTACCCTAATACGGCGCAACCCGTAACATAGCACATTTGATATTTTGCCACAAAAGCTTTGCTACAGCAACAATTTTTACCTCAAATTTCACAATAAGTGAAATTTTATCAACCCCTCAAATTCCCATTCATAAATCTTAAGTTTCCCTACCCCACTTCAAAAGTTCCAGTGAAATTCTATTTTTACCTGATCTTCTGATGTTTTTCAAAGAGCAAAATGAATTCTTCTTAAATGAGCCCCAAAATAAGTAATTACAAACTTGTCGTTTAATAATTTTTGGGAGCAGGCAGATAATGAATCCTGCAGTACTAGCCTGGGGGCTAGTTTCTTAGTAAACAGGAAGATGCAACTGTGTGACATTTGGGAGCTTTGTAACCTTTCACGGTGAAAACAAACTGCTGCTTTACAACAACATTACAACATGAATAAGTTAATGGTGTTTTGACCTCACTGTGACCTTGGACTGCAAAAGCTCCCAGATAAATGCATACAGTTGCGCCAGTCTATAGAGCACCAAAGTCATGAAAGTGATCACATCACACACACAGTTATGTGTGAAGGGCATTAGCACCAGAACCAGTGCGTGAACCAAGATGCTCATTTACATTGTATATTGTTGCCCCCTATCCCGTGTATGCTGGACAGACACAATTTTACAGTTTTATGCATTCCTGAGGTCAGAGCGAGGTGAAAACACCCTTGACTTGTCGTGCTTGTCGTAATGTACACATGGTGGAGGTTTGTTTCAGAAACGTTGAAACTGTGAAAGGTCACAAAGCTCCCGGATGTTGCAGAGAGTTGCCACCAGCCAATACCACTGCACTAGCTGCAGGCTGAGTAGATCATGGTCATGATCAAAGATCGTATAGCGCCGCAAAGCGGCGAAAGATGGGGAACTTCACCATAAATACCCGTAAAACGTTGTTATCACATGGGCGTCATTCTGGTTGGACTACCACTGCGCAGTGCATGTTAACGAACGTTCACACTCGAATGGCGCCCATGGTGATAACAACACCTTTATGGCCGAATTACCCATCTTGCACCGCTACACGGCGCTATATAATCTTTGGTCATGATGGTCCTCCCATGGAGGAAGGAACACATCACGTTAATATTTTCACTGCTAAATTCGACCGTTTTAGGACATTTTATTGCTTTCATTTGCCTGATAAGTTACTACAGGTAAAAAATAGTGGCGTCTGTTTATGGAATTCTTTCCCTGGAATCGGAAAAAAATCTCCTTACCAGACAAAAATATGAAATAAAACGCACTACAACAAGATTGACGACATGCAGACACGACCCTGATGACATCCATTTGCAATGAGCAGATGTTGAATTTGTGAATATAGGCTGATTCCCTGTGACAGCGTTTTAATAAAATCAGTAACTTCAAAAGGGTACCAGACTTGATAATGTAGGAAAATAGCATTGATTTACCAGAGGGTGCGTTGAAATTAACATCTTCCCTTGATGGATTTAGAACAGCAACAAATAAGCACAGATTTTTATTAAAGTCTCGCGCGGAAACAAGGAATAAACATAATGGTATTTTGAATTAATATTTTTCAAGTTTTGTGAAAACTTGGAAGTAGTATTTTGAAGTAAAAAAAGTAATTCTAAGGGTTTTATGTTCGGTAATTTTCGGTAACTATCGGGTTGATTGTCAACAAAATGACGGTTGCCCATAGCGACAGAACAAATCCATCATGGCGGTCCCAGCCGGTGTAAAACTTGACGACGGATCGGGCGGTTTTTTTACAAATTGCTTCCCGGCCAGAAATATTTTCAGGCAATCAGAAGATGGTATGGAGATCTTTATGATAATTAAGCATTATTTGTGTGTTCATTGGGTTTTATCGCAAGTTTTTCTAAGTTTGTCTTTGATTTTTTTTCTGCCTGTGTTTCGCAGCTTGTTCAATTGTTCTCTTGTTTGGTTATTGTTTTGTGAAGTTCAATGTTAACGTGACCCATTTTGTCACATTTAAGCAGTGTTAAGAGTCTAACAGAGAGTCAGCTATTATTTTTGCCTGGACAAGATATTAATTCAGTATAATGCATTTATTGCGTCGTCAGTCATGTGTCAGTCTCATTGGAAAAAGAATGGATCCTAGCTAGCTTGGGAGGCTCAGGCTAATTAGTCTAGGGCTTGGCCCTAGGCCCAGGCTTGTCCCCTTTTTTTCTGTTTTCTTTGCAAGTGATCTTGGAGAGGATGTCATAAGAAAAATTTTGATAAGTTTGGGGTTAAGATGTTGCGTCCTGACTCCACTTTTCTCACCATACGCTAGGCTATATTATCTCAATAAAAGTCAGTCATAAGGCCTATAAATGCTGGCAAGACATGAATTCTGGACTGAGAAACATTTACCAATGTTGTTGGGAAATAGGCCTACTTAGAAAATTCTCTTCCCTCCCCATAGACTTTGTATACAACTGCTGAAGTGGAGTCAGGATGCAACATTGTTCTCAAGTTTGGATTTCATTGGACTCTGCAAAGCTAAGAAATACTGATTTAAAGCAGGGATATTTTGTGATTTTTTTGTAGGTGTACCAAGGCCCTAATCATAATCCAGAGAAACTGATTTTTGGTACACAAAAATGAGTGTATATTTTGACTGAAAAGCTTAAATTTCACATTTCCATGAAATGTTTGTTTTATTCATGCCTTATTTCAATGAATTAAATACTGGTTTCACTTGAAATTCAAAAATTTTGAAATTGGAAATTAGATAGAGGAGCTAGAGCCTGCGGAAAGACAAATTTTAATCACGATTTCCTAATTAAGAAAAACGACTTCCCAAATAAACAGCGCCCTCACTCATTTATGCATGTCCCTATCCTGGCCTTACAGCAAATAAGCAAATGTTATTCAACCTTTCAATTTTGGCCAAAGCCTAACGTCCGTGAATGTATCAGAAGACACAACACTCTGTGACATTTGAGAACTTTGTGACCTTTCGCTATGAATACAAATTGCTGCATTGGGACAAGTAAACTGTTTTCACCTCGCTGTGACCTCAGGTTGCAAAAGCTCCCAGATGAACGCATAAAGTTACATCCGCCCATACTTGCTTGATCCCTTATTTTGCCACTTACTGAGAAGACCAGTCAAAGTGACAACAAGTGGACGTTAATTGTGTAGTCCTGACGAAATTGGGAAAACGAACAAACCCGTGGGCCTATCGTTAGGCCTAACCATTAACGTTTGATAGGCTCTAGCCTTTTTTTTCTTTAATATAACACTGGCATTGCATGTAAAGGCCTAGGCCTACAACGAGTACAACTTTGCATGACAGTATAAGAGCTTTGTTGTGTCAATAGCTGGGGCATGGATGGTAGCACAGAGAGCGGAGCAACGTCGACACTTCAAGGCCGTTCTGTGTGCTAAGCCTAAGACCTACGCGCAGCTCAAACATGAACGGAAGGAGAGAGACAAAGAAGAAAAAAGGAAGAGACAGCCACCGTCTTCCCCGGATGTCTATGCTGAAGCTGACACCACCACTCCAGGCTTGCTAGATGGTTTCTTCCTGGTAAAAAACAATTTTTTTTCCCTAATAAAACACATTAAAAAATTCTTTTCTAATTCTGTGTTTTCATGCAGTTGAAAATGTAATGTGTTTTCTTTAATTGGTTTTTCCAGCTGAAGCACTGTTGTGTAGAAGATCCCACTGATGTTTGTTCCATCAACATCACTGGCAAAGAACTGACGGATGTCAAAGAAGACGACTTCCAGTTGTTTGATAACGTGGCCTACATCAATGCTGGAGAAAACCTCTTGCCATTTGGTGAATATAAACTCTCCCTCTTTCCAAATTCTTGACGATGAATACCACTTTGAAGTCATAAGTTTGGATAGGAAATGCCTTCAAAATGATTAAATTGAATTAAGAGTGTGTGTATTTGGTGGTTTAAAAAGAAATAAAATCACTTTTCTGAAGATGTGAGGGTAGGCAAACAGCTTGTTCACTGATGTTTACTTCCTTTTATTTCCTTTCAGAGGCTTTTAGCCATTTTCCAATTGTTCGGGAGGTAGAGCTACCCTTGAATGCTCTACGAGGAATTCGGATAGACCTTGACGATTTTCCCTGCTTAGAAGTAAGAATTGACACAATATATCCCAATCCTACAATGGGTTTGCTTTCAAAACTTTATGCATGTCTTAATTGCTGGCCTTGTCCTGTGGGACAAAATTGCTCTATAGAGTACCTTTTGGGTTTTTTCTTCAGGTACTCGATCTGTCGTACAACAACCTCTCCAAAGAAGACATCTTGGCTCTGGGCATGCTTCCAAAGTTGAAAGTTCTGTACCTGACTGGTAATCAGCTTCGTTCACTGCCGGTGGAGTTGGCCAAGCCATATAAAGTAACCCTTGCGTAAGTCAAAATGAGCTTAACACTACTCTTGACAGTCTCTCCATTTAGGTGTTGTACGTGGAAGGTTGTAGCTTGGGACTGTATTCCAGATTGGGTCATGCATTATGCAGCAAGTTGTGTAAAGATTGGACACGATCACTCCTCCTAAGTGTTCATTTCTAAGGCAATCTCGCAAATAACATATTGGCCATGAGACCTTCCGAGGGTTGTCATGAGTTGGCACTGAATCCTGGGCTAAGCTTGAGATGGTTCTGCTCTCAGTTAGGTCTTCCTAGTTGGGTACAACAGGTGAGGGTTGCCATCTTCAGTACTTTGTTCAGCAATTCTCAAATTACTGTTGATGTCAGCCCCTCAGCTGTGTACCAGGTGCATCGTGGGAAACATGTTGTCTACCAGATTGTTTACACCTGTTATCGATTGTAAAAATTAAAGTTTTCAATCACCTGCATATTTTAATCTTGTATTTTTTCTTTGTATTATACACTTATGTGGAGTTTTTCATCATGATTCCGCCCTTGTAAAGCATACTGAAGCTTTCAAGAATGAGAACTTGCCATCTAAATCATCCTTTGACTGCGCAGCTGAACATGGAGCTATTTTAGTGCTAGCTATGTGCCTTTCTTTTGTATCTTCAATGATTGCCATTCTACAGATTGTATTTTACATTCGCTAAGACAGAAGGCTTAAATCATGTATCTAGAATCTTTTAAGTGCATATTTTTTGCTTCAAGTCAATTACTTGTACTTCAAATCATCAATCTTTGGTCTCCTTTCTCTTCATTTCTAGGGACAGCAGAGCTACGTCCATCCCCCGCTTCCCCTGCTTAGAGCTCCTCTTCCTAGATGATAACCATCTGACTGACCTGGCCACCTTTGCCAGTCTGGCTGGCCTCAAGCGGCTCAAGCAACTCAATCTTGACAAGAATGACATCGCCTTGGTGCCTCATCTCAAGGCTCTGAGTGGCAAGCACGTTGCTGTGGAAAGCGAGCCGCCTTCAGCTGCCTCCACGCCGGGTCGTAAAGCCCGACGGAAGTCAGCCAAGAGCCGCGGAGGAAGTAGGAGTGGATCAGTCTCACCTGGCCAGACCCCAACAGAATCGGGTATTAATGAAGAAATTACCTAAAACACAGGCCAAGCTAAAATCCACCTTCCCCCAAAATCTCGCAATTGCTTCAGTTGTCTTCTGAGATGATTGGCACTGTTTTGGATATCCAAGCAGATTGTTCTAACCATTTCCATTTTCAGGAAAAAGCTTTGAATGGATAGATGAATGGAAACCCATCTCAAAATCGATTAAACACAGTTTGGCCTTTTTGCTGCTCATGCTACAAAATCAGTATCATTTGACTATCTGCGTAAAAAATTTGGCTGAAATACCTCTTACCCTCCCTAAACTCTTCCAGATGGGCAAGACATCAACCACTCTGCAAAGCATCTTTCAGAAATCAAAGAGGAGCCTCAAAGCAGCAGTGTACATGACAATGATCCAGACCAAGATTTGCCACCACCTTTCCCTGAGTTGGAGCATCTAAGTCTTGCCTTCAATAAGGTAGTGTTGTCATCTCCATCCGGGTCACTAGTTCCAATATCTCCGTGGAATAACCAATTTAGGCTTGGCAAGTAGCATATTTATTACATGCTTCATGGGACCAACATTTGCCTAAATGAGGCTACCCAGTTGTGTGTGGTCTGCTGTTACTTATCTCAGAGATTCTGAAAGGTGAAAAATTGAAGGTACTGTGAATGAAATATTTACCATTTGAGGGCTCAGTTAGGTGCAGAATCTATTTTGCATCACCTCAACCTCCTCTGTCCGACTCTCAGATCAGTGATGAGGAATCGCTCCTTGCTGTAGCTGCCTGGCCAATGCTGAAAGAATTAATCATCCATGACAACCCACTGACGACCAACAGCAGCGGAGATCCACCCCTACTCAAGAGGTACCTTAAGGACAGGTTAGGCATCCACATGGTGCGAAGGAAACCAGACCACAGGCCCAAGCCCCCAATCCAGGTACCAGCCAAGCCACATAGAAAGGTAATACAATGTGCCTCTTTGGAACTGGACCCCAAAAAACATTTTGAGGTAAATCAATCAAGGAGATCATAACTTTTGTTTTTGCTCGCTAATTATGCACAGGTTGCTGAGGTGGTCCCACCAATTCCAAAGAAACCACTTCAGTTGATGCTGGAATCAGGTGACGTCACCAAAGCCCTCCCTTCGTCACTATCACATCCCACTCCTCTAACAGTGGACAAACCCCAGCAGCCCATCTCTGGTCCGCTCCCACCAATTCCGGCCACTCCTGAGGAGAGGCCCCAGACCTATCCACTCCATCACAGGGAAAGCCGCGATGAGGTTTTAGAGGCAGCGAAAATGACCCGGACAAAGTCATGGACTGCCGAGAATGTCCCAAGCTCGCAAGCATCCAATGATAAAGCTGACGAGGTCCAGCAAGCAGATGAACCTGTCTTCCTCACTCAGGTCAAATAAAAGTCATTTTTCCAAAATCTTTTGAAGGAACAAAATATTTATTTGACACCTGCTTAAGAAATGTATGAATGATGTTTATCAAAAGTCGCTTTAGGTTACCATTACCTCTGATAACACTATTGGTTGGTTTCCAGTGAGTATGGTCATCACTAGTGTTGTAGTTGAGACCACTTAAGACCTTCACAAGACCACACGAGGCCAGCACAAGACCAACACAAGACTTCCAGTCTGAACTCAAGTCACAAGCAATTCAAATGAACAGCAACAAAAGCATTTCTTTGTCATTGTTCACCCTGTTACTTGTGACCGGTCTTGTGATAGTCTCTACTACAACACTGGTCATCACGTTGCCCAAGGTAGAAGTATGTCACCAAGACAGCGTTATGGACATTTCTGAAGCTGAACATGACAGCTCATCAAATTCCTTATCCGCCAAGTTGCACAGATCCATCAAGTTTTCAGAATTTCCTTCCCCGATGCTTACTTTCTACCTAAAATGCCACATTGTCTCAGGTTGATGATCAAACTGACGAACAGAAACCCCAAGAAGCCCCGTCTGACCAGGAACCTGACAAAGATCCTAAGAAAGAGAAACCAAAGAAACTGGAGCGTGTAGACAGTGCTGCCTACTCAATGTCTGTCCCAGACAAGTTCAAAGGTTACGAGATATTCTACGACACACCAGACGACCCAGATGAAGAACCGGTAGTAACAGGTGAGATTATTTCATCCTCCTTTAAGCAAAACAAAATCTCCAGACTTGACAGACTAAGCTTTTGTAATGACAGCTGCTAATCTAATTTGTAGTTCCTTGTTTGTCTTGGCAATATTGATCTCTTTTTTTATTCCAGACATCCAAGGCAACCTACGATCACTCAGATTGGCTCTCAAACACCCAACACTATATCAGAACCAGGTGGATTTAGAAAAACTGCAGAAGCCATTTGAACCATACCAGAGAGTAAGTTATGTGTTGCAGTACATCACAGTTTTGTCAAATATTACAGCAAACCAACCACGTGAACATCATGGCAAACTTGAATTCACCATGAAACCATGAAATATTGACTTACAAAATGATAATATTGTTTAGGCAAGAGAGAGTTTTACAGTGCACAAAGAATAGGATAAAGCAATAACTTGACATCGAATCATTGACGGTTGACAAGAGATGTTCTTTACAGAGAAAGTTCCAGCCCCGCCCACCCCACAAGAGCAAAGCAGAGAAACTTGAAGACATCCTGGAGACGATGAAGAACCGGCTAGTCATTGAAGAGGTCAACCTTGGCAAGCTGCTGCAAGACCAGAAGATGCTCAAGAAGGATTATCCAGAGGCCCTGCAACTCCTACAGGAGGTACTAAGCCACGCCCCCTTCAGTTTACTTCACTTATTCAGGATCTCAACACCCACAGTTTACAAAATCTACAGATGTACATGTACTTTTCTGTGTAGTGTACCACTACACAGAAAAGTACATGTACATGAACTACTTCACGTGTTACCCTGAAACTTCAAAATCTTGGGCCCAAAAGCTGCAATTGTTGGGTTATTTCTCTCTTTTTGATGCTTGATCAAATTCTATTTGCCCATTTGAACGCATTTACAGAATGTAACAATAAAATGTCTACAGAAAATGTCAACACCCAGACAACCCCCTTTTTAAAAACTCATAGATGAGAGACTCACAGGTTTTTAACACTGTACCTTCTTCTCTTCTGACGTGCAGATCCAAGCAAAGTACAGCACAGTGCGTGCTAGCTCCATGCACACCAACCAGAATCAACAGGAAGCTGTAACAGAAACACTCCAAGCCATGCAGGACCTCAGTGACAGACTGAAACTGCAGAACTCGTCACATGGGGGCGCCAGACCCAAATCAGGCAGCACCACCAGGGTCCGATCCAAACACAGCAGTGCAGTGAATTGAAGATTGAATTGTGAATCATAAAACAAAAAAAAACCAACCTCCCTTCATAATGAAGATTGTTTATCAAACATTTTATTATTTGTAGAGTGCACATACTTGTATTTAATTTATCTTGTAATTATATCACTTGAAATATGTACTTTATTTTCTGATATGGTCACGGCAGTGTCGAATACATGTACTGTTTGACTTTTGTACATCAATAAAAAAAAGTCAAGCTTTTTTCCTCCAGCAAGAAATGGAACTTTGTGTGCATCAACCTGTGGTGTATAAAGGTGTGCTTTGTTTTATTCACAACTGTCTTCAATTTGGTTCCCGATACTTTACAATTTTACATGTATTCTCGAAACACATAAAAACCTGGGTATGCAGAAAATAGCCCTCATTCTCTCAACTGAAGAAGTTTTGGGGATCAAATGACCACACAAACTGTCCAACAGTTTCAAAGATCATGTCCCCGTTTGTTTTTCTTCCCCCAAAAAGGAAAGTCAATCTGAATCTACAAATATAATTTACAAAGTGATTATTATATTAATATATCCCAAACACCTAAATATTAACAATACTTACAAAAATCCTACAAATTACAGGTGATAATTAAAAGGAAAAAAGTAATACATGTATACACCATCGTATTTCAAACTTGTATAACAACTCACAACAGTCACTTTTAATTTATTAAACAAATGACAACGTGATTAAGTTCCAATCCATATACATGTAACAATATCTACACACGGTACTAATTAAGAAACCTCGATAATTAAGCATATAACCCTTACATTTTCCCAGAGCTTGACACGCCAAATTTATCAGAAATCTATCGACAAACTTCAATGTCACTGTAAACCAGAGTGCATTGCATCTCTCTAACAGATGGAAAAGAAAACTGCAACCTACGCATGTCGTTAATGTGATCAAAGTTCCTGATTGGCTTGTTAAAAGAAGAAGTACCCAATCCTAAACCGGGATCCTAGCTTTCAAACCAGCACTGATAATTTTTTTTGTGAGCAACTTGGATCATATTTGAATTGTCTGTTTCAGCCAGTTGGGCTACAAGACTAGCCTGCTAAGAGCCCAGAATGAAACTGAAAGCTAGCCCCAAACGTGGAGAAAAAAAACACACAAAAAAGTCACTGACATGGCATTTAAAGACATGCTTTCTTCAACAGCAAAACTCGCCACACCACATCAACGCAGGAAAAAGAAATCCAAAGTTCACATTAAAAAAAAATAAAAAAAATTACTGCCTTAAAACTCCATCTTGAACAAGGTAAAGATAAGTCATTGTTTTTGTGTTCTTAAAGTGTCATGTCTACATAGATGAACAAAATAAATAAGCAGTTTACTGTGCACTCTACTGCCAACCAATATTAACCACAATCTACAAAGCCTAATACCCACAACATTAAAGTGAAAGAAAAAGATCGTATTTTAGACGTTTCAGGGATTGGTGGGTGAAAAGTTTATCATCCTTTGAAGGCTACCGGTTCTGAGTGAAGATATTACACTAGATCGTACAATTTGATTGAAAATAATGACAGGTGTAGTGGAGAGGGTCAGAGTTATGGTTGGGGGGGGAATTCATCTTATTGCATTGCAATAAACCATAAATATATTTCCACAAGGTGTTAATAAACTGTTACAATGGCCACGTGGCCAGTGCAAAACAGTTGTGGATTTGAAGGGGGCATGGACAGCATTGATAACGGGGGCAGGCACTGTGCAACTGTCAAACATGAGAAAAATCAAACACAAAAACCTAAAACCTACCAGCGTAATGTTTTTTACAGCTGCTCTGAAGTCAGTCGGTGTCACATGAGCCATGTCACAGAGCCATGTGCCCACCTGATGTGTCACATGATGTGAGTCATGTGACCCACCATCTCTCAAAGAAGCTGCCATTGGTATCAAACATTTCTGCTCCAAAGTGAAAGAAAAAAAAATATGATGGATGAAAAGTAGATAGCATGCATTAGCAGGAAATCAAACAAAATGATTACACCTCTGGGAAGGGAGTTTTCTGAAACACTAAAAACTATTCAATTAAAAGCAAAAGCAACCACAACACAAATATACAACTGTACAGAACTTGTGAACAGTAAGTTTTCACCTTCACTGAATCGTTTTCTCAACCACTGTACTGACATTTCCCAACAAAAATATACCCTTTTCTCTATAACTCTAAATGACATCATCAACACACGCACCTAAAGTTGATTTAGTACACCAACAAAAAGGAAACACTATGCACTCAACTGGGCCCTAAACACGAGCGCATGACACCAAGCTGTCTGAAGCAGATTGAGGCTATGGACGAGAGCATCATGGAGCTGGCTAGCCGCTGTGAGGGGCTTATGGCGATGACATACGTCTACATCTACCCACAATCCGATACCCAGTCAATCACTGCATGCACTTCCTATCGTAACCAATGTCCAAATAATCCAAGTACAAAGAATATGCTACTGGTTTCCTGAGCTGTGTGGAATTTTTCAGCATTCGGGAAACTTACTAGCAACAACAAAAAGCTGTGGAAGGAAAGGTTAAACAAATATTCCATCTAGGAGTCTACTCATACCAAAACTAACAAGAATTACACATGGACATCTTTCAGTTTCAGTACATGACTTCAACAAAAGTCAGTCCAAGCTATTTTTTTCAAGTCACTGTAAACATAACTTGTTTTTATAGCATAGCATTTTCTCATGGATACAAATACATAAACTTCAAACCATACTGATATGTATCTTGGGTTGAGAGTTTCACATGCGCACACTGAAACATGTTGACTGTGGTTAAAAATAATAAATACATATACAAATATCTGTCTCCTCTGAGTATAATCTCTTTACACTGAATAAAAAGAAATCTCACAATCCTTTGATCTAGTGTTACATTTATTATTTGCAATGCATGTATGTGCTTGCAAACACAACCCGACAAAATAGTTATCCTCAAGGTTGAATGAAAGTTTATTTTCAAAGGCGGAAACAAGTAAAACATTTTCTAAACACACGCCCTCTCCTTGAGTAACTTACCGATAGACATAAGATAAAACAAAACATACCTTCTACAATATTATGTTAGAGTTCTTACATTCATGTGCTTCGTAACTAACATACAGCACACATGGACTTATTACAAATTTTTGTGTACTCTCCAGAGAAAAAAATGTACAACACCCTACAAATGTAACTTAAATAACACATAAAGTCTAGTTACACAGCAGTCATCTTTGGCATGGTTCCCTGAATGCATATGATGCACTAACAAAGTGCAAGTCGCATTAAAGGAACCAGTGTATTTTCAACAGGTGCGAAACTACAGTGGATCGTGTGGCCAAGGTGTAACATTTCAAGGCTGTGGCTATGGCTGCATGTACAAAGATATGAGATCATGATGCCAGCAGAAGCCATAGCATTACATCCCAAACTAACTGCCTGTGGCTCAATCACGAATTGAAAGTAGACAAAGATGACTGCGGTACTAGCTCCAGGCAGCAACTGAACTGCACATAAAACTCAAGTACCGGTATACGTCAATGGTGTGCACCAGCACTTTTCAGTAAAATGTGTACAAAAAAGGGCTTAAATGCACTGCAGCCTACATGTAAGTGTAGAGACTTCAAAGAGCAGTATTGAAGATACCCAAGTGCTCAAATCTTTGCATCTAACAATGTTGCTGCTGTGCCCTGAATGGGCACATGGTGCTCATGTGGTGGTCACATGGCCTTCCCACGGTGGTCACTCGGTATTCAACTTCCCCTTAGGTTTGTAGCGTGGTGATCACAGTCGGCCATGGACAATGTATAATGCAACAGAAATGGTCGTTATGGTGCATGGAAGATGGCGCCCTCTGTTGGTTTCTCTGTGTTATGCGACCATGAAAATCTCCTTCCAAGGTGCAACAAACATAACATGTGCATTATTCAGCGAGGTGTGGGATGGAGGTGTGCTTCATGCTGTTGTAGTAGCAGACATCCTCAAGAGAAATCATAGAAGTATTGTAGAAGCAGACACTGAACTCAGCAGAAAGCTGTGTTGACATCTTGCTTCAAAGGAACGCCCGTCCGACCAATGGAGATTCTTCATGTGGATGGATTTCCAGGAGGCACATTTGCTGAAAGGCATCACGTTTATCAACTCAACAGACCTCTCAAGATCTATTTCCTTTTCAAGTCTGGGGATGCGCTGTGCAGTTTTGCCCCATTACATAACTGTCGGTGCGGTGCACATCCATAACACCGTAAATTGTTGGCAACTCTTCATTCAATGCCATTCATAGGTTTCTGTCAAGGCCCAAAGATAAGTACAGCCAGGTGCTCTGCACCTAACACACTCGTATACATTAACACAGTACCTCCTGCTGATATGTATGGAGAGCCACCTCTCTCAAAATTGTCCAACAGTCATTTGGTACTTGCCAGGGTTAGGTGTGTCAAAGTAGCAGTACTTTTGTTACTTGGATTTTGAAGCTGAGGATAAGGAACTGTTTCTGCATGGATGAAAGAAATTAAAGATATCAAATTGCTGACAGAAACCAAGAGAAACCCTCATTGGAAAAAGATTTAGAAAACTGGCCAAACTTCTTGCTTAAAAAAACAAACTTGAATAGGTCTAGGCTTGGCGTAATCATACACTCCTACCACTTGAGAAATAATCTGATGTCAGATTAAAACCACCAAGAACATCAACAACTCTTTGAATGAATAACTTGGTTGGTTTAGTTCTGATTCCTTTATCTGGTGGCTGAGGGTTCGAATCCCACTTAGGTCCATTTCTCTTATTAATGGCTGCTAATGAAACTATTTAGTTTCCATCATGGCTGATTTCAATATTAATATAAACAAATCAAAGAACACATTAACTTACTCTCTTACTCTGGTGACAACCTTTTGGACTAACCGGTCACAGATGCCAGGAAAGGACTCCTCGGATAAATCAAAGGCATTTACCAATTGGTCTATGGACGTAGTACCGTCATATTTTCTCTTCAGCTGCAAATGACAAGAAAACCTTTATCCTCAGTTCTTTTTTTTCTGATCAATGAGACAAAATCAACAATTAAATGCAGCAAAGAGGTGCACCTCAGTGGTGGGTGAACCACTTCCTCAGTGAAATCTTGGGACGTGTGTCACCTCAAAGATGCAACCGCCGAGACTACATTTCTCACACAAAGTCTGAGTGGATAGCAGTCTTCAGAGTTTTAATTCATGGGGTACTTCAACTCAAGCGATATTCCCATTTGTATGTAGACTCAGTGATGTTAACGTTAACTGTAAAGTTACACACCTTACATGCATGCAACCTACAGTCCTCTCTCAAAATAACGTTACTTCCTACAGATTGTCAAATGCATCAGCATTTGGACTTCAAATTTTCGTCACTTACAACGGCTGTGCCGTATTGCGAAGAAATTTCGATCAACAGGCACACTCATGCACCTGATAGTGTTGAAAATGAAGTTGTAATTTTTCCTACAAAGATGATATCTCATGAGAGAGATTTTTAAGGCTTGGCACTCGTCAATCAACACTGAGGTCATGCAGCTTAAATCTATAGTCAATGAGGAACCGCACTTGGCACATACATTTTTGAGTACAGGTTCCAAAATGGAGTGGATCGACTCCGACTTGGGTTGTCGCTGGATGGGTACCTCGCGATCCTCCACATGGACGTCGTTGCTGACCGGCGGGGCACCGGGATTCCCTCGGACGGTGTCAAACCTCCAGCCGTCATCGTCATCATTTTGCATGACTAATCTCTCCTCGCCACTGCAGAGATCAGAAGGGAAGTAAAATTTAGGGCATTTTCCACTGAACCACCAACCCTGGCAACAAACATACTTCTGTTTTTGGTCAGCAAAGCCCTGTGTAAAGTTTGATGGACAGAAGCTTGAGCAACTGGCCTCCTGATCATCAGTGAGGAGCCAATCCAGGCAAAAGGCAGAGGTACTCACTGGTCATGCTCGGAATCTGAGTCAGAATCAGACTCATTGCCTTCAGCCTTCCACCTCTTGTACCGATCTATGAGCTCAGTGAGGTGTGACGTCTTCTTGGCATTCTTGAGAAACTTGTACTTGAGAAGCTCCTTTGCCGTCGGTCTCTGTAACAAGAGAATCATTTAAAGACATAAGGAATGGGTAAAATGCAAAGAAGCATTATGGAATGATGTTCATTACCTACAAGTTGACTACACAATGTTTAAGATCTCTCGTCTTATGACTGCACAGAGAGAAATCTCATCAATCACACTCACGAAAGCAGGGTCTTTGTTGAGACAGGCGTCCACAAACTCCTTGAAAGCCTTGCTGTAGTTGCCTTCCAATGTGGGCGGGTTACTCTTGGGGATGAGGAAGAGAACTCTCATGGGGTGCAGGTCAGAATGAGGAGGTTCCCCTTTGGCCAGCTCGATGGCTGTGATGCCCAACGACCAAATATCAGCCTGAGAAAAAAAATAAGGCAGGATTCAACATCACATTTTAAAAGAGATGCAAACAAAATGACTGAATCAAAGCCTGTGCAGGTTACATGCTTTAAGCTTCAGGTTACATGCTTTAAGCTTCAGTTAAATTTCAATTCACCTGAAAAGTGAACACTGAGCATACGAATGTGCAGACTATGGGCTAGTGGCCCAGTGGTTAGGATTTGTAGCCTATGATCACAGGGTCGGGGATTCGAATCCAGCTGGTAGTGGAATTTTATGATTGGGCAAGTCACTTTACCCTAAATGCCTCTCTCCATCCAGGAGTAGGGCAGATGTGGTTATCACGTTCAGCCATTCACACCTGCTATAGCAGCATCGGCCTATTATACTCCCTAGGGAGCTGAGGTGGATTCAGGACTGTTCAGATGCTGTGAGCCCAGTGTGCAAGGACAATTATATTCGGTGCCTTTGAATTACAGATACCGTGAGATATTGTGCATCCCATAAAACTGTACTCCAAACACTACGTTGAATTTTGAAAAATAGTGGCACTGTTGGCCAGAACTGCTATCATGCTCCTTCCAGAAAAGGGCTCACGGCCACTACTGCCTGTAGTCAGGCTTGAGGATACCTTGGATCCTTTTCGTTTTTAGATGAGTTTTAAAAGGAGGCAAAGACAAGTGTTGCAGTGAAATTTCAAGTTCCCAGTAAGTTCCCCCTTATAGATGATTTTGTTTCAAGAAATTTGCTGTGTTTTGGTGACTTGTTTCTCTGTGATCCCACAACTGACACCCTTTGTTGTCACTGAGGTGACAGTCCCTCCAAGCAGTGATGACTGAGGGATATGCCAATTTTTTCGTCTGAAATGTTGCTTTAAAATTTGGGCTGAACAAGTTCTATATTAGCCACAGGATTCCCAGCCCACCACCAGAGATCAAGGCACTATTAAAATATGACGATGCTCGACTTAAGTCTCACAGGAATCCCACCAATTAAAAGGGATTAATGATGACGCAGAATGGGGGTTGGCTCTCCTTGTCCAGACAATCAAGAGTTTCCACAAACTCGGCAATACGGTCAACAGTTTCAGTACCTCGCCTCCCTCCCTCCCTCCACGATGGCATAGGATGTGTCACTGGGCTCTAATCTCTGGGCTACTTGCACTAATAATCCGGTCTGACAGACACAGCTGGCAACGGAAGGGCGGGTACCCGGGGCCGGATAATTTGAGCTCAAGATTGGAGGCAAAAAGGGGTGAAAAGGGGAGGGGGGGTTTGATCACGCAACTCTCGAATTTATTGTTGAAAAGAAACTGAAAAGGGAAGGACTGATGGTCAGATGACAGCTGTCTCCTCCTCTCCTCCTGCCCTTGCCTTCCTTTCTCCTGCCCACAAAAGCCAGATATAGGACCCGCTGGGATCACACTGACAACGTTCCTGGCTTTTGTTAAATTGTTTTCCCTTTGGGAGTGGTTGAAATTGAACAGAAGGGAATTACAATGCCCCCTTCATATGAACTTCAATAGCAACTTCAGAGTTGAATCACTTTATCCTTAAATGGTTAAGATACTTAGTACATATACGGTTTGCCTGCTGATGTTACCGCAAGATTGTTGGGCAAATCTTTCATGACACATTCTTTCCTTCCTTTTTTGATTAATGTGGGGCTAACTTTTCAGGAAAAGTTCTGGAAGGTCTCAATATTCAGTTTCACATAAAAAAAAGACTCAACAAAAATACTCCTAATGGCAAGAATTACCATGAGAAATCTCCTTCCCTCCCAAAAAGATAGAAATTCTTGCAGAACAGAGAAAGAAAAAACAAAACCGAGAAATCTAAAAAACATTTGCCTTTGCATCATAAGCTGACTGCTTGATAACTTCGGGTGCCATCCAAAATGGTGTGCCGACAAAGGTGTTTCTCTTCATCTGAGTGTCTGTGAGTTGTCCTGCGACACCAAAATCTGCCAGCTTGACATCACCATTTTCCGACAGTAAAACATTTGCGGCTGTTTACGACAAGGAAACAAGAAAAGGAAAAATAACACTTGACGGAACATGAGGTAAAAAAAGAACCGTGAAGCACATGTATATTTCCACCTTCTTCTAAACTAAACCCCGTCCCTAAAACTCCCCCCTCTTCAGAGCACATACATGTAAGATGTACCATAAGATGTACCATAAGATGTACCTTTGATATCTCTATGCAGCATTCTTTCCGAGTGGAGGTATTGGAGACCAAGCAGGATTTCTCGAAGTATTGTTGCAATGAAGACTTCGTCTATCTTGCCAGGTTTCAGAAGATCCAAGGCTGATCCGCCTCCAAGGTATTCCATAATAATCCATAGCTTGCTACCCTGTGGCACAATAACAGCCAAGCAAGATAACAATTAAGCAATGTGTGGCTGAAAAAATCCAGCATAATAGCAGCAATACGTGTACATATGTATACGTGTAAATGTACATACACTCAACCTGAGAGAAAACAAGTTTACGTAGACTTTACGTGTACATGTCGATGACAAATAATGGTAAGAATACCGGTACATTTCAACACTTAGAACCTATTTCATTTAACCCCTGTGGTAGGAGAACAGCAAATATCCACATCTTGATTAGTCTCTTCCGTCTATAAACATACAATTCTTGAGGTAGGGAAAAAGACTTTGTCCTTGAGGAGAGGTTGTCAACCTCTCCTGATCTAAACAGCTCACAGGAGAATGCAAAGTTTAATCGGACCGAGTATTAATAATGGGCCTAAGGAATACCTGAAAGCCATGGATTTTCTGTTAGAGAGATATCTGTTCATGGAGGCACACTTTAATCATTCATTCATTTGTTGGTATTTTGACGAATACAGGTCCATATATTATCTATCCTACATGTACAGTACCAGTATGCTATGGATAGAAAGTGTTGTTGTATGAATGCGAGAAAAAGTCTGCGAACTGAATTTTAAATGTACATCACAGATGGAAAACAAGTAGACAAACAAACCACCCGAACACATGCATCCTATACTGAGTTCACGATTTATAGGTGAGTTCAATGCCATTAAAAAACATTCTGGGAGAAGTACATGTCCATGTATTAGATCACTGTCTACATATAAAATGGTATGCTATGCACTAAATGCAAAGAACACTGCGATACAAGTTTTATACTTGAAGCAGGGGACAGCTCTAAAACACTTCAATTTGATTTTCATCAAACTGAAATGTACATGTATACGTAAATCTATTTTTAGTACAGTGCATCCTGCACAATTGAAATTGATGTCATTACGGCCTGCACTCTGACGTTCAGGAAAACATGAAAGATGTGTAATGTGACGATGACTCATCAAAGCCGAAACTCAACAGTAATACCCCTGTGGGTTGAGGTACCGGGTTCATGGATACATGTAGATGGTGCATGTACATGTACCATACATGTACATGTACACTGTACTGGTTAGTGTTTATTCAGCCACCTGTGTTTGACCTGTGCTCAGGTCACCTTCCCACTGTGTTACGATCCCACTGGTTGCAGTTGGGTAATTCAGGTTCAACCAAGGACAACAACCAATCACAAAATATCAACTGAGGTTGCTTAGCAAAAGTAATGCTATCCAATGGCTGCTAAACATTGATCAGTACATGGACATGTACATCTGGGAACATACAGTCCTACACATGTGTGCCTACAGAACAAAGCACCAAGCTACATGTACATGTACCTGACTGACTTGATATTCAAATCTTGTTGTGCTTATGACTTGCATAGCCAGGATACCTTGAGTCTTCAAGTTCCTCGATCATATAATAAACTTAACGACAGGGCATTTGCGATTGCTGAACGGAGCTTGTGGAATCCTTTGTCACCCAGTTGAAAGATATTACAAATGAAAATGAGTGCAACTGTGCCATCAAGACATACCTTTTTAATAAACGTTATAATTGACAAGATTTTATGCATGTAATTTTATGTTTTATGAATCATGTGGTTCAACCCGTAACTTACATGTACATGTAGTTTTTGTAACTTTTAATTATAATTTAAATTGTACATGTAGTTTATAACTACATGTATGTACATGCAACCAATCAACATGTACTTGGTATCACAACCTGTCCATTCAAATCATAGTCAGCGTTGCTAAATACTGGACAGGTGGAGGACTGTATAAGCTTACCAAAACTGAAGGGTTTGGCTATTAATGACTCACAAAGTGACACATGTACAGTGTACTATAGATGGCAATAACAGAGATGTGTCCATGTGTGTATTGGTTTCTATACTGCAGTTCAAACTGTATCATTGTATGCTGTTTTTGTTTATATGTGTTCAGGATACAGGTGTACGTGTGTGTTTAAGTACAGTACACTTCCAAGGACGTACAACATGTAAATTTTGACAGCTGTCCAACAATATTTCCTTGTAACCCCAATCAACCCCAGTCATACATGTACATGTACATGTATTTCACAAGTGATTGCTGCCCAGTTTTCTTCTATGTGCACCGAGCGATGTGTCTCCATAATTATGCGTTTTTTCTGTGTCTTACTACTGGTATGTACACAGCACGAGCCCATGTTAACTGCAATGTAGCTTTAATGTATATGTAGGTACATACACACACGTACAGGTCCTACCAGTAGGTACCAGTACATGTCCTACCAGTAGGTACCAGTACATGTCCTACCAGTAGGTATCAGTACAGGTCCTACCAGTAGGTACCGTACCAGTACAGGTCCTACCAGTAGGTACCAGTACAGGTCCTACCAGTAGGTATCAGTACAGGTCCTACCAGTAGGTACCAGTACAGGTCCTACCAGTAGGTATCAGTACAGGTCCTACCAGTAGGTACCAGTACAGGTACAGGTACCTGAGTCGAGTGGTTTGTGGTTGCATGATGTATAGTATAGAGTGTGTGTGGGGAGCCGAGCTCAGACGTTACACTTATTAACAATGCATTAGCAGTCTGTGCACGCCACGATAGCAGTAAACTTGTTTCACTCCCACAGATACTTGAAGTTTGAAACCACAATTTCCCTTGGTCCAGTCCTAGGTACCAAACACTCAAACATACATGTAAAAGGTCAAACATGCCTTGTGTTTTCTTCCAGCTTTTTTTCAAATAACATGGTTGCCAATTTTGATTTATTCCACAAACACAAAACCCAAAGCCTGTCTGTCCTGCAAATAATTCACAAAATAATGTTTCTGTGTGTTATGTCAGATTTTTTACAGGTAACTTGTGTACATGTATTTTGCAAATGCGTGTACGGTTCAAAAATCAACCTGGCGCCTGACGTTTTTTCTCAAGAGCCAGTGGCTCCTCATTTTAATTTTCTCTGTTCGGCACTGGCTCTCCCTATCAATGAATTTGCCTTTTCCCCTTCATTTTCATAGTCTGATTTCCTGCATTGTAAATCACAGTCTCATTGTCCAAACACAATGCTCTCCATTCAGGCGGGTGTACAGGTCTGTAGCAAGTTGGTGTGACAGTTCCAACCCACGCCTCGGTTGTCAGTGTTATACAAATCAAGCCACACGCGCAAGAGATTCCTTGACCTTCTCTGAAATACGGATGCCATAGTTCTATGCCTGTACTGGAGACCCATGTACATGTACATGAAGATGTAGTGACAACTTTAGGGTTATAAACTGTACATGTATAGTACTTCATACCAGGTTATGGAGACAAAAGACATGCCGAAATGGATGTTATAGGGAACCAGGTTATGGGGACAAAAGACATGCCGAAATAGACGTTATAGGGAACCAGGTTATGGAGACAAAAGA